GCCGAGAGGCAGGAGAGAGGCGCACAGCTGGATCCCTGACGTCACTCACTCCGACAGGACACCCAGTACAGGGTGCGTCAGAGAGGAAAGGGAGACATCCCTCCAATAAAATTGAATAAATGAACAGGGGGAAGACCAAGATGCAGCCGTGCAAATATCTTCCACTGACATTCCTCCGTGCAACGCCGTGGAGGAGGAAATTCCTCTGGTGGGGAGTGCGCTTTGATATTCTCCGGGGGCTCCACCCCAGAGGAGACATATGCCTGTGACACAGCCTCACACAGCCAGTGTGACAGCCGTTGTGTAGACAGAGGTTGCCCGATCGAGCGCTCTCTATAATGCACAAACAGGCGCTGAAAACGGCGCCATGCCGCCGTGCGCGCCACATAGCAGCACAGCGCGCGCACCGGACAGAGGAGATGAGATGTGGCTTCTTCCTCCGATTTATGAGGAGGCGGAAAAAAACCCGTCCAGGGTGATCACTCTTGACCTAAAAGAGCTTGTGATGACCTTTGGCATAAAGGCTTGGTTAGGACGTAACACAGCCGAACTGCCATCCCCTTGGATCCGGAGGCATGACGGGGCCACAGAGAGAGCGAATAAATCACTCACCCTTTTCGCCGATGTTAGAGCCAAAAGCAGTACTACTTTGGCTGATAACATGTTGAGGGGAACCTGCTCTAAAGGTTCAAATGGGGCTTTGCTTAGTGCTCGTAACACCAAAGCCAAATCCCACTGAGGCGCCAGTGCGCGTGACACCGGTCTGAGTCTTCGTACCCCTTGCAGAAACCGTTTCGTCAGGGGGTGACTGAACAACGTCCCTGCTCCGAAACCCACGTGACAAGATGATATGGCAGCCGCATATACCTTGATTGTGCTGAACGCCAAATTCCTGTCCAACAACAGCTGAAGGAATGACAGCACGTGAGGCAGGGGTCACGTAATGGGGTCCAGGCTTCTTTCTACACACCAACGCTGGAACGCTGCCCACTTGGCTGTGTAGGACGCTCTGGTAGACGCGGCCCTGGCTCCCTTAATGGTGCGTACAACATCTTGAGAGAGACCCCACCTCTCTAAGTGTTCCCGCTCAGGGGCCATGCCCATAAGGGCTGGCCTATCACTGGATGACTGTAGATCGCTCCCTCCACCTGTGAGAGAGCGTCCCCCCGCCACGGAATCTCCCATGGCCTGCCTGACAGCGTACGCTGTAGGCATGGAAACCAGGAAGCTCCCGTGCGTTCCGGGGCAATCTTGAGTGCCGTGCTGGCCGCCTTAGCGATCTCTTCCGCCTCCTCTGGAGCCACGGTGGTGGACCGTTCGACCAACGTCACCACCGAGTTGGTCAGCAACGCGATGTTATTCGCTGCTGCAGACGCCTGGAACGCACACTGGTGCGCCCGGTCAGCCTGGCGGGCGACATACTGGTCCTTGGGGGCGGCCAACATAGGGCGCCGTCCGGCGACCAAGTTGGCCTGCCTAACCCGGAAGAACGCCGTTAAGCTCGGTTCCAGAGCGGGGGTGGTTGGAAAAACCTCGTCTGTGAACCCCTCCACCTTAGTGAAGGGGACAAAGGTGGCCACCGGAGCCCTTAAGGTCCTCGGGTTCGCCGCTGCCCCTTCCTGGTATCGCCTAATGGCGGGGAAGCGCGGCCAGATCGGGTCACTCCTGCCCGTCTGAACCCGGGAAAACACTCCGGCCATGTCATCCAGAGCCACCCTCTCCCGTCCTCGGGGAACGGGGAGACCTCTGCATGCTGCTGCTTTGCCGATTATTTCCGGCAGCTCCAGCGCCGGTAGCACCGTGGCCACGGAGAAGGGGACCACGTGCTTGACCGCCACCTCTGACTCTCGCTCCGACCCCGTCTCCCCCGTCCGGGGAAGAGGGGGGAGGGGGAGGGGAGAGCCGCATGGCGAGCCATGGAGGGAGACGGGGTAGGAGTCGTCCGACTTCTGCCCCCCACTCGCCTCCAGAAACAGGCTGTTGTCCCTGTTCTGGATGGGCCATTCGTCCTCCTCACCCGCAGCAGCTAGAGCGTCCGCCCTTCGCTTCCTGTCGGATGATGGGAGACGAACACAATGTGAACATGCGATCTGCTGGCTGAGAGCCGCGTCCGCGTGCTCTGGCCCCAGGCAGGATGCGCATATTGGATGCAAATCGTAGCTCATGATGTATCCCGTATTGCACGAAGGACACATGCGGACACAATCATTGCTGCTCATGATTCGATCTTCTTGTGCTTCAGTACTCTGCTGGTTTCTGAAGAAAAGAGGGAGCAGATTGCCGGGCACCCTTCCTATTTATACCGGAAGGAGGCCCGAGGGTGGGGCCCACCTGGCGGGTGGGCGTGGACTACAAGTGTTTCAGTGCTGCGCGGGGCGCAGAGGGATAAACCCAATAGCGATAGCCTTAGAGGGCGAAGCCATATACGAAATAGAAGCCTGTCTTCTCTTGGTCTCCAGGAGAAAACGCCACTGTATCACCAAGTTTTCATATACTGCTGAGAAAGGCTGTAGAAAAACCTGAAACAATGTCATTATTTTCCCCCTTCATTTGAGAAACACTACCCAATGATTTATTATGTTTGTGTTAGACACACACCATTACTGAATTAATTCTAAAACCAAGAATAACCTACATACAAAAATAGGGAGCCCTGGCTCAAGGACGGACAAAACAAGGAAACCACACTTGATTATTTTCCAATTACAGTATATTTACAACCATTGCGAATGTAATCAGGCCATTAAGAAGCCGGCATCAGCTGTTTCCAATGTAAAGCAGATGGGCGACTGTAGCTACGAGTGCGGTCTTCTTTCAACCAGAAGGTCGTGAGTTCGATCCCAGCCCATGTAGTCAACATGTCGATTAATCCTTGAGCAAGATACTTGCAGTATAGACTGCAGTATCTTTAGGGGTGTGGTCTTGCTCGGTTAATTAATAATTATAATCAAAACATATCATATATATTATTCTGAAATGGACCAATCTGCAGAATGATTACTTTTACTTTTGGTACTTTAACTATATTTTGATGCCAACACCTTTGTACTTTTTCTTGAAGAACATTTTGAATGCAGGACTTCTACTTTTACTCAAGTACAAGATTTGAGTACTTCCCCCACCTCTGGAAGTCAATACTATCTGCTTAACTGTCTGGCAACCATTGCAAATGTTATCAGGCCTTTAAGAAGCCGTCATCAGCTGTTTCCAATGTAAGGCTTCAACAGGGGCACACTGCACCCTCACACAGCCAACACTATGAACGTTTTACAGATGTATACATTTGAGCTTCATTAGATTGAGCAAGTTAGCATTTTACCACTTCCGGTTCCTCAACCAAAAACAATGGGATTTCTCCATAGGATTTTGGGAAATAGCTGGAAATAAGGTCTGTGGTTGAGACACATTTAAGAGACGGATCACGTTTTGTTCTACGACATTAAATACATCAGCAGTGACCCCACTGGTGATTTCTGAAGAGTTCACGTGTCTGAAAAACGATGGTTGTTAATAAGTAACACGTAAACACTCCCGCTAAGTTTGTTTTTTCCCCGTGTTCTACTGGAAAGCAAGTACCTGCCTCCTGCAGACTGTTCAAACAAACACTTCAACTTGTACCATTTTGAATCTGTATGTTTGAATATGGATCTTAAGTTGGCGTGACGTTGAAGCAGCGACCCTGCTGTAGTTCCTTTATAGCATAACGTTAGCATTTTGCTTCTGGCGATTAGATTTATGATTCGAAAATGATAAAAGTAGGATAGACATGTGGATATTATCCGGCTGAACAAAACGTGATCCGTCTCTTAAATGTGTTTCAACCACAGACCTTATTTCCAGATATTTTCCCAAATCCTAGCGTTTTTGTCGAGGGAACCATGAAGGAGTTTACTTCCAGGTTTTAGGACACGTCACTGTGGCTCTCTATTGACTGCAGTATCTTTGGGGGTGTGGTCTTACTCGGGACTTGACCAAAGCAAAAAAACTGAGAAGTTGCTTGGGTATTCGACTAAATTACTGCACTTTCACTATCCGACGTGTTTATGATGCGCCAGTGGAGGTCCTGAATGTGCGTCTGCTGCTGTGGGGAAACTAGAAACTACAGTTTTCTATACAGCGGACTACAACATGGATATTTAATAAGAACGAGGGACTACTGTAAACTCATCTAGAGACTCTGCACCGTGCTCTGATGCTGTTGCTTTATGCTTTATGAACGTGGACAACAGAGAAACATATTCTTCATGACCAAAGCTGGAATTGAAATAAAAAAGGAAAGTGAAACTTATGCTCGTCACCCTCTCCCTCCGGTCCACATTAATACAAATGATCCCAATACGTATGATTGTATGAACTATGAAAATATCTTAAAATCAATACAAATGTATTTATTATAAACGTTAGTCCTTAACATCTATCACTGTGTACATCACCATTCAAACATCTTTTAAAAGTTGAACAAACCCCACACAGCTCAGTAAAGACTGTGAGATGTTGACTTTATTTGATCATTTCAGTAAAAACTAACGTTCATATTTCTCTTTTTGATTATAATACTGATGAACGTTCAGAACAAAGCACTTTGGCAACTTACCACATACGTTTTAAAATGCTTAATATGCACCGTAACTTTCATGATATCATTTCTCGGTCATAATCGGTTGTTTCCGTGAACGGCCGACTGTTGAGTGACGGCAAATGCTGCGGCTGCAATGCATTGTGGGGCAGCATTTTCTCCTCTCCTTTCGGTTAGGGAGGTCCAGTGGTTCCTAAGCTAAAGGAGGTTATAAAGGAAGTTTGAAACCTCCTTTCCTTTCATTTGGAGAATTGGAACAGCACTTATCATGGCTGCCACTGACGTACTTCCGGGTCATTTCACTCCGTTAGGAAGGTTCCTAAGCTAAATGGACTATTGGACTGCAGCCTAAGTCTTTTAAACAATAATGTTCACAAATATTTTAATGGCATTGAATATGTAACAAGCTTTAAATTATACTTACATTCAGAAAACGTAACTTTCCCACGAGTGCACTGGGCTTCAGAAAAATAGAAAACAGAACTGGAACATTCCAAATTCTCTTCTTCACCATCATTTATAGTTCTGACTCCAACAGATTTTATGTGAGAAAGTTCATCAGTGTCCACAGAACAGTAGGTGGCTGGAAAAATAAACAACACATTTATTTACACAGCCAAGTTCTCTGAATGTTAGAGTGGACTTGTTTTTACCTTTGCAGGTGGGTGCTTCGGACCACGTGCCATCGCTGTAACATCCCACCATCTTCGGACCCACTAGTTGGTATTGAGCAGCGCATTGGTACTGCAAATACCTTTTATTGTTGTTCACAACGTCACCATTAGCAACCAGGGGGGGAGTTCCACAGGTCTCGACTGAAATAGAAAAAAAGAACTGGTTATTTCAGAAATAATTATTTCAAGATGCCATTGCAGAGTAAATCATCTCAAATGTAAAACCTTCTTTGTCATTTTAACTGTTGTTCATTTGTGTCAACCAGTACAATTTTCATTTCAAACGTATTGTATATACGAGGGTTATTATAATATCTAAAAGGAGAAAGGAATAAAATGTTGCTTTCAATTTCTTCATCCTTTTTGGAGCTGCTAAGATCCTGAAAGATAAAGCGACCATTTCGCAATGGGATGTTGGTTTTAAGCATTTATTTTAGAAAGCCTAAACATTTTAGCTTTCTCAATTTTAAGGTAATTTGTTGTCTTCACAAGCAGATATATATATATATAATTCTATTCGACATTTAACAGATATAACAACACAGTCTCACTCCCTAATAGTCCAGGAGCGACGCTTGGTCAGGGTCCTTTGGCGTGCAGTTGTGACGCGCCGAGTCTCCTTCAGCTTCATAAACGGACGCAAAGAGCTTCAACTGATTGCAATGTATTCCCATCGGCGGTGGTATTTGACGCTCAGGGAAGCACCGCATCGGTCCATGTCGGTGGCAGTTAAAGGCAATGTGAGCGTCCATTCCCATTGGATAACGGATGATTTTACACCCGGAAGTAAGTATTCCCCTTACTGTTGATTGATTTTACAGTGATATCTGCACTACTCATCAACTCAAAAACACCAGATTATTCTTGTTAATTACACAACATTGATTGGTTTAAATTGTGTGCAATGCTTTTGTATTTTTCCCCTTCGATTCGGAGAAACAAATATTTTTTCAGAGTTTAGGATGGCCGAAGACACTACACTACCCAGAATCCTCAGCTATCGTTCCTCTTTGCTCGACAAACCCCGTGATTAGTCCTCAAGCTCTGTGATTGGTTGACCTCCAACTGGATTCCATATGGAAAAAAACGTTTTGTAAAAGACAAAATCATACTTTATTCAGCAGTGCTTGCTTTACTCTTTGAAAGTCATCACATGAATGCATTGTAATAAATGGTTTGGCTGCAAACACATCTGGTTTACCCCCTAATCCCACCAGCAGCGTCTGCGCTGCGTTGCGTTGTATGGTTTGTTTTGGAACTTGACAATCAACTTTCCTGCAATGTTAACTATGTTGAAGCACTTATTTAACCGATATTATACATATTAATTATACTCTTATAAGATGTATATAGATAGTATAACAAATGTGCAGAATACGACAGTTTAATGGTGGAGGTATACACACATATTGATAGATGTCTTGTAATGCACTGTTGAGGTGTAAGCGAGCCGTCAGGGCCCTCTAGGCCCTCTGTGAGGGCCTAAGATATTCTAAAAAATAATATTTGAAAACATTAAAAAAAACGTTTTTTTAAAAATATTTTTAAAAATATTTTGTTGTTACATTTTTCATTAGTTTTACCAAAATAACTTGATTTAATTGTATTTCAAATAACATTTCCAAAGAAATAAATCCTTTGAATCTTCCTGTTCAGTTTCTGTTGGAATGTGAAGGGTTAAATGCCGTCTCTGCGAGTTATGTGAAGACGGGAGAGCTTGGTTGGTCCCTCTCTACATTCACAGAGGGCCCGCTATAGTAACTCAACGAGAGAGTAATGTCAAATGACAGTACGATTGACCAATCATATCTTCCCTCTAAATGGGCGGGCTTTATTTTCGGGGACTTTATGACAAGTTCCGCCCGCTGTGAGGTCTATGCAAGTGGTGCAGTGACGCATCCTAAAACCCGGAAGTAAGCTTCGCTCGGATTCCCTCGACAGAAAGCAGTGGGATTTCTCCATAGGATTTTGGAAAATAGCTCGAAATAAGGTCTGTGGAAAACGAACCTGTTGGATAAATGCCACGCTTTTGTTCAGCCGGATAATATCCACATGTCTACCCTACTTTTATTATTTTCGAATCATAAATCTAAACGATAGATTTATGATCGATAGATTTATGATTAGCATAAGTTCGTTCATGATGGCTCACTTCAGTGATAGTGATGACATCGTTGCGAAATTATTAACCGAGTCATTTTCAAGATTGAGTTACAATGATAAACTGGAGTGGCAAAGGATCAGCTGCATGACCCGCCATCAAGTGCTTCATCCAAAAGGACAGGAGGATGGACTGTGTGTTTAAGTGATTTATCATCAAAGGTAGGCCTAAGTCATTTTCAATGTGGGCCGCCGTGCCGACTTAATTCATTTGTAATTGTTACTTGGCTGTGGGTGCCCTGTCATGATAGGTGTTTATATAAATGGTGTTGTTTTGTGTGGTAGAGGGTCGCTGTCATTGATGCGTTTTGCACATGGTTTTGCACCCCGGGCCGCTGTTTATATATATTCCGCTGAAGTATAGGCTGTGACGTAATAACTCTTCTTTTTTTTCGAGGGAAGGGCAGAGGGCCTACAGCGTAAAGCCAAAACTCACAGACATTTCAATGATTTGTACGGCAAAGTTGGGTTTGGAAACGGTATAATTTCCTTTTTAGCAGGCATGCATAACACCGGAGCCTCGCTGCGGGGAAACTTTGGCGCTGTAACGAGTTTGTTCCGTCAAAATGACGGACTGCTTTCAGATTTCGCCGCCATTGTTAAAAGAAATCCGTCAGACGGAAAATATCGGTTAACGCGACCTCTGGCTCACATTGCCTTTAACTGCCGCCGACATGGAACCGATGCAGTGCTTCCCTGAGCGTCAAATACCGCCGCCGATGGGAATACATTGCAATCAGTTGAAAGTTCTTTGCGTCCGTTTATGAAGCTGAAGGAGACTCGGCGCGTCCCAACTGCACGCCAAAGGACCCTGACCAAGCGTCGCTATTGGACTATTAGGGAGTGAGACTGTGTTGGATATAAACAGGTCCTATTACATTTCTCATATAAATCCAAGCCTACCTTCGGAGACAGGTTTCCTCACAGTAGTGTGTCCCCCACCTGCAGTGGAAGAAGAAAAAAAAAATACATACATTCAACTTTTATGAATCACAAAATATGGTGGGTTTTCTTTGAACAAAGTTCCCTGGTCCCCTCACCAAAATGCAGTTTTGGATGATTTATAGTTCTTGGTCTTTTTTACTACTTGAGGGCAGCAGAACAGCACTGGCATATTATCACCTTATAAATTGAATATGGTGGATTTGTTAGAAAAAAGTGGCCTATTTACACAGTCAGCTGACACAGAGCAACATGAACATTCATTCAACAGTTCTTAGCAGAGTATTTTTATTGTGGTAGTTCAATAAGAAATAGATAAATGCGCTAACAGTGAAAATAAAGAACTATTAGCAAGTTGACAAAAATGTGAATAATGCTGATTTACATTTGTCACTACACACGTTCACAGATACTCATCAAGTATGGGGGGGAATGAGTCCTAAAACATGGAAATTAGTTAGCATTTTACCACTTGATGGGTTAGATTTTCACGTTTTGTCCTTTGACAAAAAAATGCATCTGATATTACCCCCACTAGCAGTGAATATCCAAAGCTTTTATGTCTCATAAAAATGGTGGTTGATAACAAGAGGCTAAATGCGACAACTGAAAGCCATCCCGCCGGACATTAGCCGCCTTAGCTTAGCGGTTGTGACAACGCAGCTATGCAACAGTGATGTAGCTCAGTGTTTTTCAAAGCGGGGGGCCCCGTCCCCCCGGGGGGCCGCCAGGGGGGTCACGCAAAGTTTGAGGGAAAGGGGAATTTTTTTTTTTTTAAAGTTACATTTATTTATTTTTTGATTTTATTAATAACTGCATATCTATCAATCTATGTGTCCTTTGATGCCAATCTTTTAATATTTTTTATTTATTAATATTTGTATTTTTTGTTAATAAATCTCACGACCGCCCTTTCAAGCCAGAAATTATTAACCGAGTCATTTTCAAGATTGAGTTACAATGATAAACTGGAGTGGCAAAGGATCAGCTGAATGACCCGCCATCAAGTGCTTTCATCCAAAAGGACAGGAGGATGGACTTTGTGTTTCAGTGATTTATCATCAAAGGTAGGCCTCAGTCATTTTCAATGTGGGCCGCCGTGCTGACTTAATTCATTTGTAATTGCTACTTGGCTGTGGGTGCCCTGTCATGATAGGTGTTTATATAAATGGTGTTGTTTTGTGTGGTAGAGGGTCGCTGTCATTGATGCGTTTTGCACATGGTTTGCACCCCGGGCCGCTGTTTATATATTCCGCTGAAGTATAGGCTGTGACGTAATAACTCTTCTTTTTTTTTCGAGGGAAGGGCAGAGGGCCTAGGTATAAAAGTCACGGCTCGCACTGCTACAACCGTAATTGTGTATATGATATGTCAATAAACCTTCTTGAAATCTTGAAAAGGGATGTGCAAAATAGTCATTATATGCAGTCTTTATTAACTATTAGTAGAGAATAACGAGTAATGAATTATGCTTTATAGGCAGTGTCAAATTACCCATTTGCTTTCGGGGGAGGCCCTATGTTTGTTTTTTTTAAAGGTGCACTCCGGTGGATTTTTCTGTGAGCGGCAGGGAGATCAATATACTTTTTGCCTCTTTTGCAAATCTCACATCTACATTTTTATGAAAAGCCATGGATACCTTTCATTCCACTCACTCCCATCTTTTCTGTGTCCAGTTAAAAGGCAGTTCATGGGCATCGTAGGTTCGCTAGTGCAGGTGGCAGCACCGGCGCTGTGGCCGTTGTTGAAGCCTCTCTTCAGGCTCCGCATCGGCAGGCCTCTCCCTCAGTGTGAAGCTGTCAAACTCGACCCTAACGCCGCTTACAGCCGGCCAACTAAAAGTTGTTCCGTTCACGTTGTATTTTTAGACTCCTTCGCTTCTTTGCTTGTGAATCCAAAAGCTGCAAGGCTTGGCTGTTTTCGTTTTCGCCATATTTTTATTACAAAGGCCAGAGTTAAAAAAATATCAATATGAACATTTCAAATACCGCGCCGGCATCGCCACCATAACCATAGCAACGTAAGTAGCGTAAAGAATGCAGCGCCGCCACGTACAGATGGCAACACCCACAAATATTCACAAATATATAAAACAAATATTCAGAAACTGTAATGAACAATGACTATTATTTATTTACAGAAACTCAACATTTCTAATCTGTCTGACACAAATATGCACGATTTTTTTGGGCTCCCCCTATTTATCTCAAAGTCGGCCTTCAGGGGAGCTCCCCCCTCTTTAGGGGAGCCAAGCTCCCCCTGGCTCCCCCCCCATTTTGAACACTGTTTATAGGGATCTGCAGATAAATATTTAGTCTTCTCAAGCACCCACTACCAATATCTCTCCTGATTGTTGGCACTTGACAATCACCTTCACTGAATTTTACTCAGGTGTAACTAAAGTCTGATTTAAGGGTTGTTTATATTTCACATCATTAATCCAAATCTGTAAAGTAACTAAAATAAATGTAGTGGAGTAAAAATACCAGGTTAACCTTAAAGAAAGCCCTCAGGATTATAAAGACCCCCATCACCCCAGCCGCAAACTGTTCTGTCTGCTGCCGTCTGGCAGGCGTTACCGCAGGACACGTTCCATTCCTGTTTTGGATAGTGTGCCGTTGATGGGTTTCATTCCATTTCAAAGTGCTGTTTGACGCTCGGTGTAAACTTCGTGCACTGCCACTCCAACATCCAATCACAGAGCTTGAGGATTAATCACGGGGTTTGTCAAGCAAAGCACATGGTGTAGTCCCAAACGATAGCTGAGGATTCTGGGTAGTGAACTGTCAACGGGGGGCGGGGCGGGGCGCACGCTCGTGAACTGTTAGCGCCGTGTTATGCATGCCCACTGCACCTCGCGGGAGTGCGCACAGCGTAAAGCCAAAACTCACAGACATTTCAAAGATTTGTACGGCAAAGTTGGGTTTGGAAACGGTATCATTTCCTTTTTAGCAGGCATGCATAACACCGGAGCCTCGCTGCGGGGAAACTTTGGTGCTGTTCCGAGTTTGTTCCGTCAAAATTATGGACTGCTTTCAGATTTCTCCGTCATTGTTAAAAGAAATCCGTCATAGACGGAAAATATTCGGTTAACGCGACCTCTGGCTCACATTGCCTTTAACTGCCACCGACATGGACCGATGCGGTGCTTCCCTGAGCGTCAAATACCGCCACCGATGGGAATACATTGCAATCAGTTGAAAGCTCTTTGCGTCTGTTTATGAAGCTGAAGGAGACTCGGCGCGTCCCAACTGCACGCCAAAGGACCCTGACCAAGCGTCGCTATTGGACTATTAGGGAGTGAGACTGTGTTACATTTCTCATATAAATCCAAGCCTACCTTCGGAGACAGGTTTCCTCACAGTAGTGTGTCCCCCACCTGCAGTGGAAGAAGAAAAAAAAATACATACATTCACTTTTATGAATCACAAAATATGGTGGTTTTCTTTGAACAAAAGTTCCCTGGTCCCTCACCAAAATGCAGTTTTGGATTATTTATAGTTCTTGGTCTTTTTTATTACTTTTGGGCAGCAGAACAGCACTGGCATATTATCACCTTAGCAGAGTATTTTTATTGTAGATAGATATAGATAAATGCGCTAACAGTGAAAATAAAGAACTATTAGCAAGTTGACAAAAATGTGAACAATGCTGATTTACATTTGTCACTACACACGTTCACAGATACTCATCAAGTATGGGGGGAATGAGTCCTAAAACATGGAAATTAGTTAGCATTTTACCACTTGATGGGTTAGATTTTCACGTTTTGTCCTTTGACAAAAAATGCATCTGATATTACCCCACTAGCAGTGAATATCCAAAGCTTTTATGTGTCATAAAAATGGCGGTTGATAACAAGAGGCTAAATGCGACAACTGAAAGCCATCCCGCCGGACATTAGCCACCTTTAGCTTAGCGGTTGTGACACGCAGCTATGCAACAGTGATGTAGCTCAGTGTTTTTCAAAGTGGGGGGCCCCGACCTGCCAGGGGGCGCCAGGGGGCTCACGCAAAGTTTGAGGGAAAGGGGAATTTTTTTTTTTTTAAAGTTACATTTATTTATTTTTAGATTTTATTAATAACTGCATATCTATCAATCTATGTGTCCTTTGATGCCAATCTTTTAATATTTTTTATTTATTAATATTTGTATTTTATTGTTTTTAAATCTCATGATATAGTTTTGGTATTAAAATAATGTTACACCTCTTGTATGCCCTGAACGCCAAAACAACCACAGACAAGAATATATATTTGTAATTATCAAAATGATAACAAAGGCTGAAAAAACAGGAGAAGCCTGTCTTCCCTTGGTCTCCAGGAGAAAACGCCACTGTATCACCAAGCTTTCATATACTGCTGAGAAAGGCTGTACAAAAACCTGAAACAATGTGCTGCAATGTCTGTGTATTTGTGAAGAATGCCAAGTAAAAGAAGAAAGTAATAACTCGCACTGAGTCTTGATACATTACTTTATTTCATTATTTTCCCCCTTCATTTGAGAAACACAATCCAATGATTTATTATTTCTGTGTTACACACACCATTACTGAATTAATTCTAAAACCAAGAGGGACCATAGGGAGCCCTGGCTCAAGGACGGACAAAACAAGGACACCACACTTGATTATTTTCCAATTACAGTATATTTATTTAAAGAGAGAAACTAAATTGTGATATCAGTTTAATCAGTAATGTGTGTACTGTCAGTCTATGGTGTAGTGTATGGGTGTGTTATGTGTCAGTATATCAAGCAAAGAGAGAGAGATGGCGAGAGAGAACACCTTGCGTTTATGCAATAAAAAAGACGAATTCACATTAAAATTCCAAAGACACAGACCACATACAGCAACTGCAACAAGTTAATCTGTAGTACACATAGACCAGGGGTGTCCAAACTACAGCCCGGGGGCCAAATGCCCAGCAATAACTTATTTACATAACAAGCTTGAAATAGACCCATATTTCCCCTTAATATAATCACCCTATGGCTTCTGTTTTAACACTAGAACCGCCAACGGGTATATTTTACCAGCAGCTTTTTCTTGATTGTATGTAACTTTTTTTCAACAAAATATTCAAGTCTCCCAGTCTGTGACTTTTCCTGAAAGTGTGTTATACACCCTCTGTTGTTAAAAATGGTCAATATGAAGTCGGATTGAAAAAAATGCCAAAGAAATTGCCATTTAAATCCATCAGTGCTAGTTGTAGATAGATAGATAGACACTTTGCACATAACTCACAATAGCGATCTTTTATACTTCATGTTATCTGCACAAACAAGATATCATATGAAAGCTGAGAGTCCACAGATTATGTTGGTATAAATGTCATCACTGCGATCAAAGCTCACTGTTAACCCTGTGTTCTAGTATGATACACAGACCTGCAAGACAAGGGGTGTCAAACTCAAGGCCCGGGGGCCAAATCCGGCCCGCCACTTCCTTTTAGCGTGCAAAGAATATAACAAGTTTATTATAATGTTACCGTGCCGCTAACGTTGCCCATAAATTATTTTTTATTTGGACCTTACTACAGTTGCCGACAGGTCCAAAACATCTCCATCCGAAACAATGCAATTATAATCATATAATCATACATTGCATTGCACCTATGCACTCAAATGTAAGGACAGAAAAATTGAGATACAACTAATGGCGCATTTCCATTGCAGGGCCTCGCATGGCTTAGTACGGTATAGTTAGGTCTTGGTAGGCCAGGCTCACTTTATGCTGCGTTTCCATTATAGTTTTAGTAGCTGGGGCAGTAACTATAGTAACGCAGTGTAGGCGGAGCCGTGACGTCATTTTCAATGTGAACCACATAACCAAAACATCAGCCGTTAACTGTTAGCACTCAAGCTCACAGCTCCTCATATCTGTTCAGAAACTAGACAAAAGTTAAATAAGTTCAAACCACAGACATGTCCCACAATGCATCTCATTGTGTGACATGCGCAATGAAGAGACTTGCCATTATTTCCCCTAGACTTCTGCTTTCAGGCGTAGTTAATTATGAAGTTATTACCCTTTCCGATAATAATCCAATGCAGAGGCAATTGTGTAAAATAATACATTATTTTATATTTATTATGTATATTTATCTATGTATATTTATATAGTCTTAAAGTTACCACCGGCCGTTTGAGTGCAACCATAATTCTAATGTGGGCCGCGATGAAATTGAGTTTGACACCCCTGTGCTAGACCCAACTCTTATTAATCCCCACCGGACAAAACGACTGTAGGAGCGGAATCATTCGACCAATATAATACTAGGATAATGCTATACAATGCTGACGGAGGCGAGATCCACACGTACGTTATTCACGCGCTTATCCACACGCACGTTATCAACACGCAAAGCATAAGATATCACTTTCTAAGCTATGCCGCTGCCACGTGAGCGCGTACTTTGAGCGCACCTATGATACGTCGCCGTGACGTCTAACGCCTGACATCGTCGTGACGTCGCCAGTATTCTACGTCAACCCAATCAAAATTGATGGAGGCGTTGGCACATGTTGACACGTTAGTTCTCCGCTCAGTTAGCTTAGTTGTCCGGTCTTTGGCACAAATCACACCTCATAGCAGTTCTAGATGTAGTTTTTTTTTCACCGTTAGCAACAAAAACGTCATCATCTTATTTTCTGCAATATTCCTAAATCCAATGGAAAAATTCCCATTGTTTTTGTTGAGGGCGCCCTTGCGATGTTACTTGCTTACAACAATACTTCATAACTGCACCCATCCATCTGGATCCTCTACCCTGAGTTCTGGATTAAGTCGTGGACTTCGGGTCGTGGCTGAACCTGTCTCTGCGGTCCTGCCTTGGGTCTCGTCATGCTGCTTCCCTGATGGCTTCCTCAGGATTGTAGCTGACATCCTTGTGGATTCATCTTCTTATTACAGACACATGCATTTCCTAACATTCGGTCTATCTGCTGTAAAATGTATTATCTCTTCGATTTACACACGGCATCTATTGCACGTCTGTCCGTCCTGGGAGAGGGATCTCTCCTCTGTTGCTCTCCCTGAGGTTTCTCCCATGTTCCCCTTTAAACTGTGGGTTTTCTCTGGAAGTTTTTCCTTGTACGATGTGAGGGTCAAAGGACAGAGGGTCTAAGGACAGAGGGTGTCGTTTTTTTCTCATACTGATATTCTGAACAATCTGTGCTGTTGTATTTGCTGTAAAGTGTCTCTACTGTAGGCTATTTTTATTATATGTACAGCACTTTGGCTCGACCAAAAATCGTTTATAAATGTGCTATATAAATAAAACTTGATTTGATGCAATGTCAATTTAAAGCAAAAAGTGAATGTATCAGTACTCCACCCTGTCTCCTTTAATGACAGCATATTGCACTGTTTTCACTTACTGCATGTTGGGCCTTCAGTCCAGTTTCCTGAGATGCAAGAGATTGTTTTGGAGACTGCTCCCTCTGCAGCATATCCATCTTCACACTTATACTGCAGTTGTGAGCTTTCAGCAGACACCTCCTGGTATCCATTACCAATGATGACTGCATGGGGGATTTTAGGGGGATCACCACATGAGTCGGCACTCCCTGAAAATGAGGTTATTGTGTAAAGTGGATTTAAGATTTAGACACTGATTTGATTCTGGTAACTGATTTAAAAAAAAAAACGTAGACAGACTTACTTTCACAGATTGGCACAGAGGACCATGTTCCGTTTATACACTGCGCTGTGGCCTTATTGTTTTTGTGTTCATATCCTTTGTCACATCTTACCCTGATTTTGTCTGTATCCTGATACCAACCATCTGTGCTTGCATCGTAGTTTCCATTTGGGATGGTCAGTGGCACACAGGCTTTTTCCTCTAATGAAAAAAAGAACAAACATTAAGTGAAAATGTTCAAATATTAGTTTTGTTCTTTTCTAATATATATGGTAGTTCCTGATTAGAAAAGCAAAAATAATTTGGACCCCTGATCTCTGGTTTAAAGTTACGAACAGCTCAATTTTGCCCATTTCACACAACCTAGTCTCACGGCATTTCGTGTTATAGTCACGAAATGTAATCTATTGATTCGTGTTGACCGCGATTTTCCCCTTTTTTTCGTGTCACACAGAACGATTTTAAAAGCAATGTATTTCTATTGGTAGTGTGTTTCGTGCCTGCAGCACGTCTTTTTGTCCGGTCGGATCTTGGAAGACCGGAAGCTGTGTGGTTCATAAAAACATGTTCTTACTCAATATCAAACCACGATTATTGTTTTTATATTCAATTCTATAATGTAGAACTTTTTTTGCCGTCCGTGAGGACTTTGTTATTCTTTTCTAAATAACACACTGTTATTTACTCAACAATACACAATTATCCTTGTTTTTATTTATTTGTTTAATTCTATAATCTCGGGCTTTTTTGCCGTCCGTCAGGAACTGAATTTCAAAATAAAGTCATTATCAGCCTTATCTATCAACATAATTGGGTTTCCAGGCAACAGCTTGGGGGGAAAACAGTATTTCCGGTCTCAAAGTTTTCATAGTAATCTGCAGTACTCAGTAAAACATCAGATTATCCTTGTTAATTACACAACATTGATTGGTTTAAATTGTGTACAATGCTTTTGTGTTTTTAACCTTCAATTCGGAGAAACAAATAGTTTTTTCGGAGTTTAGGATGGCCGAAGAGAAGACACTACACTAACCATAATCCTCAGCTATCGTTTGGGACTACAACATCCGCTTTGCTTGACACATCCCGTGATTAGTCTTCAAGCTCTGTGATTGGATGTTGGAGTGGCAGTGCAGGCTCCAACGGGTGTTGTGCGTAGACGGCTCTGCTAAGATTGTTCCCTAGTTTAGGTTTCATGTTATGTGTTTAGATAGGTTCCTGTTTTATTTTGATAGTCTTGTCTACCCTCATGTGTCTAAAGTACGTTTCCTGCCTTGTCTGTTTTCCCACGGTTGTGATTGTCTAATTGTCTTCACCTGGTGTTGTCTGTCTAGTATATATAGTTCTCGTCTTCCCCTGTCTCGTTGCCAGATTGTCTTGTGTGTTCCAAGCCTTCCAGCGTAAGATCCTTTTGTCATTGTCCACAGAGTTATCGTCCATAGAGTTAGATTAGTGTATTAGTAGTTTTTGTTTTGTTGCTTTATGTATTCAGTGTGTTATGACCTGTCTACATTAAAACACTTTATTTTGATACTTTGTTTGTCTCTGCATCGTGCATTTGATTCCACGCCCTTGTACAGCCCTAACAACGGGACTACACATGCTGGCTATTGCTTTTCGCAACATGTTCTCTATATGGCACGTCTCTACTTGGAATTGTAGTTTTAAAAGATGTTTTCGTATTTCCCATAATTAGAAGTTGCCAGTATTAAACTGTGTACATCCCTGGAGGTTTAGTGGATAGGAAACACAGTGGTGTTATCACATTTAAAACATACATGTAATAAATGGGTGAAAATGGCTTGTGTCCATAATGGGCAGCGTTAATATGCCCACATGCCAGCTCAGGTCAGAAGAGCTTTATTTAATAGCTGGTCTCATGTCTGTGACCCCTCCTGTGGTTAATTGATAAGCCTTGAAACATGCACTTGTCAAGGTTCAGAGGCACATTTAGAAAATATGGCAGTAGCCATCGATCATCTTAAGATAAGATAAGATATACTTTATTGATCCCAAGTAATACACAGCAGCATGTAAAACATGAAATGTATTGTTACTTTGTAATTCTACTCCACTACAATTCAGAGGTTAACCTGGTATTTTTACTCCACTACATTTATTTGAGTTACTTTGCAGATTCTGATTAATGATGTGGAATATAAACAACCCTTAAATCAGACTTTAGTTACACCTGAGTAAAATTCAGGGAAGGTGATTGTCAAGTGCCAACAATCAGGAGAGATATTTGATAGTTGGTGCTTGAGAAGACTAAACATGTATCTGCAGATCTCTATAAAGTATATTCATTACTCGTTATTCTCTACTAATAGTTAATAAAAAACTGTATATAATTGCTATTTTGCACATCCCTTTCAAGATTTCAAGATTTTCAAAGGTTTATTGACATATCAATACGGTGTAGTTATGCAATGAATTAAAAACTTGGGTCGCAGGTTCCTCAACAGTGCATTACAAGACATCTATCAATATCTAAGAAGAATAGGGAGGGATGAACCCCTCTTTAATGGTCACACATGCAGAGCACACAGCACACACAGTGAAATGTGGCCTCTGCATTTAACCCATCTTAGTACCAGGAGTCTAGCACCAGGAGCAGTGGGCAGCTATTGTACAGCGCCCGGGGAGCAATGGGTGTGAGGGGGGAAGGGGGATGTCGGGTGCCTTGCTCAAGGGCACCACGGCAGGGCAGGAGGTGAACTGGGACCTCTCCATGTAGCAATCCACACTCCATATATGTGTGTACCTCCACAATTAAACTGTCAAATTCTGCACATTTCTTATGCTATCTACATACATAAGAGTATAATTAATGTGTATAATATCAGTTAAAATAAGTGCTTCAACATAGTTAACATTGCAGGAAAGCAATATATTAGACGTTAAGTACTTTGTCAGGCTTAATATTTATCTGTAGATCGATACCCCCAAAGCTTTTTTCTTATTCAAAAGAAGACCTTAACCTAAAGTATTCTTTATTGCTTAAATAAAGGTTAATTCGTTTTTCTGTTTTGCACATCCTCCTATTAATATCTTTGTACATGCTGCACTAAACTGTTTTATTGTAGAGATCACTTACAGTATCTTCTTGATTTTTTATATTCTATATTTCTATCATTGACCTTCTACTTTCCCCCTATGAAAGTATGTACTCTTTATATAACGTGATTTAACCACTAGGCCAGGGGTATCAAACAAAATTTCATCGCGGGCCACATTCGCATTATGGTTGCACTCAAAGGGCCGGTTGTAACTTTAAGACTATATAAAAATAGGGGGAGTTTCTCTCCCACACACTAATGACACCCCACCCTCCTGAAACACCTCCATTTGACTTCTTTGATTACTTCAGTAACATATAGACATCACTATGTAACATTTGCCCTTCTATTGGATAGCACTCCAACACATTGTACATTATAGGCTAAGGGGCGACACATCACTAATACCCCTTTCCAACCAAACCAGTTCTAGCTCCGTGCTAGTGCTCTTCTGGTTCGGAACCGGTTCTTCTTTTTAGCCCCAGTTGTGCCCCCAGAGCCCGATTGGTTCCGCATTAAAGCATGGAGACATGTCACAGTCAGGGGCGCCGTAAGGGGGTGAAAAGTTAGGACGATTCTAAGGGCCCGTGCACTCACAGAAATGAATCATGGTAGAGTTTATTTTTAAGCATTTAAATCTATTTGATTTTATTTAAATACTCATATTTTTTAAATGTATGTATTGAAATTAATTATAATCTGTATAATTCCTGTCAATTCTAAAATATATTGAATGTAATTACTTAGAGGTTAAACAATAGCAGGATCTGACAGGGGCCCAAACTATTTTAGAACATTAAGGCAAGTTTATTTATATAGCACTTTTCAACACAAGGCAATTCAAAGTGCTTTACAAAAAATGAAAGAGATTAAGAAAATGGCATTTAAAATCAGTCATTAAAAAGAAAAGATAATAAAATAAACATTAAAAGAAGAAATACATGGATAAAAGTTACAGTGCAGAAAAATATGTTTAAGTAACCAATGTGATATCTTTTCATGGGGCCCAAAATCCCTGGCCTTGCCCAGGTCACAGTAGAGGCACAGAATACAAATGAACCTGAAAATGTGCGTAATATGTCCTCCTTGTATGATACAAAACATGTGGTCACTCCTTTGTGAGCATATTATTATTAGTTATTTTTTAAAGTTAGACACCGGCCCCTTGGAAAATCTCGCATCTAACTACGCAGCAACATAAACACATTTTATTCTGATGATATATTCTGTATTTCATTGAATCCATCCACCTACTTCTTCTTGTATGTATAAGAGTTACATTAATATGTATTCCTTTCCAGCAGACAAATAATTTCAGGACCACTTTGACTAAAACGCAAGATATTAACCAAACTCTTACCTATGCATTGTAGTGCAGGAGACCATTTGTCATTTTGACATATGCTTGTCGCCCACCAGCCCTCCACTGCTGGTTTACGTCCGTTATCACAGGCGTAAGTGAGCTTTGTTTCAGTAGGGTTATCTGAGAGTTCACGGACGAAATAACCTCCATTCAGAATGGGAACAGCACAGGACTGAACTGCACTTAGTGCTGAAATGAAACATCAGACAAAGGTACATATCAAAGGACAAAGAATTAGGGGTGCATCGAAGTGGTAGAATTACATTTTCTTACCATTCAGCACTTGTGGAATCCAAACCAGGAGAACAAATCCAAGATATCTCCCACACATGGTGTCAGCAATGAAATCACAGAGACAAAACAGAGTGAAGTCTTTCAGTCCAGTTAATAATTGTTTAGGGCATTCCCCCAAAGAGAAGTGAAGACATAGTAAACACTCCGCTGAGTTACCGTCACAGTACAGCATACATGCCAACCTTTCCAAATCCAAAAGAGGTTTGCGCGCGGCAAATGTGCACGCCCAAATGAGGTAATCAGAAGAAATGGAACCCCAGTAATTACATGTATAAACCATGTATTTAACATATATTGCATAATTTAAAGCATTTTTCAGAAAAAGTGGTAGTTTGGTAAACGGTGACATCAACGACATGTCTGTAAAATGCCCGAAAAGTAAAAGAATGGGAGATAAATATCCCACAGTCTCCACATTTTATTATATTTGGAACATGTTTCTGGACCTCTTTCAGTTGAGACAGTGTAGATGAAGGATGTGTCAGGAAGTAGAACTCTTGTGTGAACATTGGATAAAGCCAGGTTCATATTCTTGTTTCATGTTGTTGACATAGAGTCAAAGGTTTGCACAGAGCGGAATATCTTTGTGTTGCGCCATACATTAGAAAATACTGCATTAAAAAAAGTCATTTCCTGCATTTGTCTACTGATAAAGTGTGATATAAATAATGTACAGGCTTTCAGATTGCTGTAGTTCACTAAACAGAGACATTAACAACATGCTTGGTGTTGAGAATGTCAGAAAAAGTGAAAGAATGGAAGATAAATATCCCCAAATCTCAAAATTGTATTATATTTTGTGTGTGTGTTTGTGGTCCTCTTTCAGTTGAGACACTAGAGGTTTCTCAATACTCAAATGTCCCCTCCTCGACTCCTCGGTCCTCCCGTAGTGACCCGGAAATGAATTTCAGCACGCCATGTTGAAAGTTAAAATGCACTTCGAGGACCGAGCATCGAGCGTCGAGGAGGCTCTCTGGAGGAGCTATAACCGAGGATACACTGATGGGTCCTCCACGGATGCATTTCCGGGAACGGTGGAGGCGTGACGCACGGCCGGACTTATCTCAGCCAATGACAGCTCTGCATGCATCCCTTGGATATTATTAGTAGGTTTGATTGTGTTACGTTATTATGAGAGTGCTCTCATACTTGTTTGATTCTGAAATTGTATATATTTATATACATATGTGTGTGTGTATGTGTGTGTCCGCATCTGTAGCCTGTTATTGTCTCATTATACCGCACTGTGAATGAATCAAAGTAAATATATAAGTGGTCATGAACACATCTGTCCATCAGACAGAGGGCTGCTGTGCCTCCTGTCATCATTAATGGACGTCTCTTTAAAATGACCGCTCAGAGGAGAGGAGTTTTCATTTCTCTAACCGCCTGCTGCTTCCCTTCCTCTCTCCTCGGTTCCCCTCCTCGGCTCCTCCGCTCGCATCTCCTGTGGGCGGCACCAAGTCTCGAGGATAGGAGTCGAGGAGGGGAGTCGAGGAGGGGAAATTTAAGAATTGAGAAGACTCTATCGTGACGCGATGAAAGCAGTTTCTAAAATAATATCCAGGGGATGCATACAGAGCTGTGATTGGCTGAGATAAGTCCGGCCGTGCGTCAAGCCTCCACCGTTCCCGGAAATGCAGGAGCCGTGGACGAACCATCAGTGTATCCTCGGTTATAGCTCCTCCAGAGAGCCTCGATCCTTGGTGACGGTGTGCATTTAGAGAAATTAGATGTCCTTCAAAATGGCGCGCTGAAATTAATTTCCGGGTCACTACCGGAGGACCGAGGAGTCGAGGAGGGGAAATTTGAGTATTGAGAAGCCTCTTTTGTGTGATGGGATCACAGACACGCTGCAAACGGTGTCCGCCAAAAGTCGAGTCCAGTGTCTATGTAGAGTCATTTTTATTTGTTATAGTTTGGGAAGATTGAAAATCAGTAGGGAAAGCCAGCTAAGTCGGTAGGCGGTAGAAACATGTCAAAAGCGGTAGACTACCGCCCAAATCGGTAGGGTTGGCAGGTATGGACAGTACTTACAAACAGGCTCTGTGTACTGCAGTCAGATCAGTCACGTTTTACAAAAGCATCTTTAATAAGGATTGATATCAACAGTCTGTACAGCTTCATTTGTTTCACTGCAATTGTACACACTGCAGTGAATGGACGTAAGAGGAGGGTGAATGTTCTACATAAAACACAGGTCTGTGTTTAGCCCCAAAATGATTCATTGGATTGCTCAAGACAATGTTTTCCACAAAGTCCATGATATTGTTTACAGTCCACATTTCAAATTGATTACCCGGAAGACTGTGATCAGAGGTCAGTGTTGTGAAATAACAAAAACACAGACAGGTCAAAGGATGGACCCTTTGTAAGGACACATTTGTGGGGGAAACTTCTGAAGCAATTGGAGTCAGGACTCAGAGAGACACGAGGAGAGCTGGAGCTTTGAAGGCAAACACTGACGGTTTATTTGGAGCTTCGGCCGGAGAATTCACAAGACATGTCACGGGCCACGAGTTGACCACACGGTAGAGCTGCCACAATCAATTCTGAAGAGCCCTCCTGTAGTTCCAGGTTTTAACTAGTTTGGAGTGTAATAAGCAACATTCTATATCAGCGAGACTAAACAAATATGGACCCTGAATCTAACTAGAGCTGTCGTCCATAGAAAAGAATGTGTGCCAGAAAACCCACGTTCCTAAAAAGAAGGGCTTCTAGATGTCCCTGAACAGTAAACTATCTCATGTCAGCTTGTGCTCGGTCACAAGCTGGCAACAACAATGCGCCCAAGCTGCTCCTCCTTAAGAGAGATAGCAGCAATACCCAAGGCCGTAGACCTGTGCCGTGGGAAAGGAGACAGTAAAAGGAGAAAATGATGATCTGTGTCAAAGGTTGAATACCTAAGCAAAACATTCCTCAACAACATTCATATGAAGCAAACATAGATGCATAATCATGGTCCAGATGAGCTCTTAGTCACGTGATCATGAAGTCACGGTCTTATAGTCTGCTTTTAGGTCCATCTTCAACTCTGGAAGGCTTCTGCTGGATCTCCATGTGCACAAATGCATTTTAAATGTGTCTTTAGTTTTAAAGAATAAAGAAATTAAAATCAATAAAAAATGCAAATCTGTAAGCTTTGAAGCAGAAAGCAAATGATTTGTGACAGGGCATCTCAGAGCACCTATAAGTTACTCTAAATCAATTGTTTTTATTATTTATTCATGGCTTGTTATTTAGTTATTAAATGTATTTTATTTGTAATTGTTTATCATTTTGTTATGTATTTCTTAAATTGCAAAGTGAGAGGAGGCCAGTTAAAACCTATAACATGGCGGCAGTGGCTCAGTCTGTAAGGACTTGGCCTTGGAACCGCAGGGTCACCGGTCCATGTCCCAGTTGGACCAAATAAAGCACGGAGTGGACTAATAGCTGGAGAGATGCCAGTTCACCTCCTGGGCCCTGCTGACGTGCCCTTGAGCAAGGCATCGAACCCCCAACTGCTCCCTGGCACAGGACTGACTTGCTGCTTCTCCGCTCTGGACCTCTCCAAAATGCATGCACTTGTGTTCACCTGTGTGTATTTGTACTGCGTCTTGTACAACACAAAAATGCATGCTCATGTGCACCTAAATACGTGTGTGTGTGTGTGTGCGTGCGTGCGTACGTGCGTGCGTGTATAAGAAAAATCTGAGTGGGGATAAATAAAGGGTCTTCTTCATCTTCTTCCTCTGTCGTTTAAGCAAAAAAACATTTAGCATCAAACACATCTCCCTTTGTGTGCATGGATTTATTATATGAGTAATGTTCTTTAGTGAGCTTCCTTGTTGTCATGGTGTCACAACAAAACACATTTTCAAAACAGAAAACTCAACTTTCCAATAAATATTTACAGTGTTTCTGGCAAATTAGCATCTGAACTGTGTTGTTGTGTTGATGGGCCTTCAGCTGCCTAACCAACACGTATATAAAAGTGCACATCTTGAAGGTTTATTGACAGAATCATAACTTTACTTATTATTTAATCATAACCAGTCACACCGGGAGCAGAGGGAGGTAATTTAGTCATACCGTACATTAGATCAGTGGTTCCCGACCTTTTTTCCCAAGAACCCCCCCCAAATGACTCCTGTTGGAAGGGCCGCCCCCCCACACACACACACTCAGGGAGGGGGGGGGGGGGCGCAACAGCGGTAATTCAAGTTTAAAAGTCTCAAAAATGCTACAACTACTGTCACAAACTGGATGAATGTGAAGTATTTTGTTAAAGGAGGATGAAAGCGTAATTAAGGAGCACTATTGGAGTGACTTTGATGGTTATTGGACTCAGGATTCATTTATTTGGATTCCCGCTGAATGAAGAAATTAAAGGACGGCGCAAGTGGAAACAATTCATAAAGGGATTAAACTGTTTAAAACACATGCTCAAATTAAACTGGATTTTGCCGATGTGTTTATGTGGATTCAAAAGTCGTAAATAATCTAAACCCTGGATAGGCTCCAATACGTCCAGAACTCTGCCGCCAGGCTTCTCACCCACACCAAGCCATGGCACCACATCACCCCCACCCTCATCCACCTACAATGGCTGCCGGTCAAGTCCCGGATTCAGTACAAAACACTCATCCTCACGTACAAGTCCCTCCATACCCTCGCCCCCCAGTACTTATCGGACCTCCTCCATCCCTACACCCCCTCTCGGAGTCTGCGGTCCTCACACACGGGCCTGCTCTCCATCCCCCGCTCTCGCCTCCGAACTGTTGGTGACAGGGCATTCAGTGTTGCGGCCCCCACCCTCTGGAATGCACTTCCTGCCGAGATCCGTAATGCTGCCTCCCTGGACATCTTCAAATCATCACTAAAAACACACCTGTTCACCCTGGCCTTCGGGCCCTTTTCTGGTCCCCCGGCTTCCTTTATTTCTTTATCTGGTTTGCCCGTTGATTGTCTGTTTGTTTTGTTTGTCCACCATGTACAGCGACCTTGGGTCCCTTGAAAGGCGCTATATAAATATAATTTATTATTATTATTATTAAATGGAGGAGACCGATCTGATCGGAGCAACTGTGACAAATCATCCAACTGAAACCTGCATGGACAATGACTATGTTTTAAAAATGCGCTTATCCC